TCCCTCCCCCAATTTTGTTTGCTTCTTCCATAGTTGTTTGTTTCAAGAACAAATTAGATAGATTTCTGCAAGAAAAATAATATCTCAGGATACACTGTATGGTTTGGGAAATGACATGTCAAGCGACTGCCAGGATGGTGGAAGGCGAACGAGATGGACCTTTGCGTTCCTTCGCCAACAAATTTGTATGTTCCCATGTAAACGTGGCCAATATAACAAGGGTGTGAAATGTAATAGAGGATTAAAAGTCACCCAGTTACTGTGACAGGGGGTGAGGGCGGGTTAGTGTTGGGGAGAAACATTACAGAGCATCAGAACAAAGCGGATGTGTGGGGTGGAGCTCTGGTGGTGACCACAGAACGAGAGGAGGAAGGAAAGAGAAGGGTGACCAGCTGTGCCAGTGCGAGGCAGACGTGCGCGGGGAAGGAGTGTGTCCTGAGTGAGGGACGATGATGCTGGGAGCTGTGCTCTGTACCCTGGTCCTGTCAGCCTCGGCCTTCCGTACGTACTTTCCAATCAGAAACCTGACTGGCTTTAATTACTGCTTTACCTTTTACTGGAATAATTACAGTCATGTGATATCTCCTGCAAATAAGATTCCCGTCTCTAAACTGAACAGAACTGTGTTACTCACTGAGCCCCACAGTGTAAGTGTTTGCCTCACCTTTTGGAACTCCATCCCACAGTCCCTTCCCCTCACCCCTCTCTTGATGTCCTCCCGACATGAAAGGTGCTATATAATTTGTTGTTGAATCGGTGATCTTCCCATCCTGCGCAGAATACTGTCTGTGATGAGGTGAGCAGGATACGTCCCTCTGGGGACAAAGTGCACATCTCATTCCAGACACACAGACATTTCCAGATATAGGTGGAATTCTGAGTAGTTTGGTTTGAAGACTCTTCAGCGCAGTGATGAGTTTCCTCTGTTATCAGACACCCGGCTGATCGCAAACAAAGTGTCTGTGCTGGCGCTAGTTCTCACTGCAGCTCTGTATTCTACTCCCGTTTCTGACTGTTAAAATGATGCTATTTTTATAGCATGAAAACAGCCGCTCCGCCCGTTCATTCCATTTTGACAAGTTTTATTTTGTTCACATGATGCTCAGTCCCACCCTGTGTCTCGCTCACTCTCCCTCCCCCCAACACCATTTAATTTAATACACTTCGAACAACAATTCCCTTTTATGGACTTGACTGTGGATTCCTGTAGCTCAGTGGTCAGAGCACTCGCCTCGCAGGCAAGAGACTTGGGTTCGATTAGCATAAGTTGGGCAATTTTCCTCTCACCACACGCTTCTGTTTACTTAGCAGTAAGTAGGAACCTGGTTGTTAGTTGAATGGCGGTTCACATTTTCGTGGGGAATAATTCCTTCAAAAAAAATTATAAATATGTCGTTCAATCCACGACTGTTTGTGAGACACAGCTGCGCAATTGGCTGCTGCGTTTCGCCCACAAAATATACTGTCAATTCACTTTACAGTGTATTCTATGATGCACTTTGAGACATCTCAAAGATGTGATCAAACCCTATATGAAATGCAAGACTCATTATTATTATTGACGGACTTTGCCTCAACTCCGTCTGTGGCAGAGGATTCCATAATCCCATCCTCTCTGTGTAAAGTGAAGGTTTCTAACCCTCTCTAACCGTGGCGGTGGTGTTGCCCTTATCTCAAGGACACCACTTGCCCTATCCCCCTACTCCACTGGCTCTTTCCCCTCCTTTGAGCACTTCACCCTCTCCCACCCCTCCGATCGCCTCATCATCCTGGGCGACTTTAACCTACACTTCACACCCTCCTGCTCCATCTCCACAGACTTCTCTTCCCTGCTCTCCTCACTCAACCTCTCCTTACACATAAACTCCCCCACTCACAGTCACGGCCACCCACTCGATTTGGTGATCACCCGGGGCCTCAGTGTCTCGGATGTCACTATTACCGACAAGGCCATCTCTGACCACTACTTCATCTCCTTCACCACCTCCACCCCCCTCCCCACCTCCACCAGACCCACCACCATCTTCTACCGCCCTTGGAAGAAATTACCCCCACAATCCCTAACCGATGCCTTGGAGTCCTCTGAACTCCTCTCCCTCTGGCCTTCAACCCTCACCGACCCCTCTTCTCCTCTCTCCCTCCTCCACAATACCCTCTCCTCCACACTCGATACTCTTGCCCCCATCACTTCCCGCACTGTCTCCTACTCCCGCTCCTCCCCCTGGTACACCACCCACCTCCGCTCACTGAAAAGTCAGGTGCGGGCCGTTGAACGCACCTGTGTCAAATCTGGCCTAACGGTCCACCGACAAATCTGGCTGGACCTCCTCAAAATTTACCGCTCCACTCTAGCCTCGGCCAAGTCGTCCTTCTACTCCAGGATAATCCTGGAGGCGAAGAACAACCCCAGGCTACTGTTTTCCACCACAACCCGACTCCTCCGTCCCCCCCGCCACGCCGCGCAGGTCATCTCCTCCAACCTTCACTGCGAGGAGATGCTGGATTTCCTTGAATCCAAGATCAAGGGAATCCGCTCCGCGGTCACTTCCCCTCCAACTTCCACCCACCACCCACCCCTTCCCTCCCACACTCCGACTCCTACCCATCCTCCCCTACACACCTTCGTACCCGTTTCCCCACCCTCTGTCACTGAACTCATCCTATCCCTAAAACCAACCACCTGCTCCCTTGACCCCATCCCCACTCCACTCCTTATCTCCCAGCTCCACTTTCTTGCCCCACATATCACTGACATCATAAACCTGTCCCTCTCCTCTGGCTCTGTCCCCATTCCATTAAAAACTGCCACCATCACGCCCACCCTGAAAAAACCCTCCCTTGATGCGTCGCAGCTATCAAGCTACCGGCCCATCTCCAACCTCCCCTTTCTCTCCAAGGTCTTGGAAAGAGTTGTCGCCTCCCAACTGCGCTCTTTCCTTTCCACCCATTCTCTTTTCGAACCCCTTCAGTCAGGTTTCCGTGCTGCCCATAGCACAGAAACTGCCCTGGTCAAGGTCACCAATGATATCCTGACCATCTGTGACCAGGGCTCCCTCTGTCTCCTCGTCCTCCTCGACCTATCGGCAGCATTCGATACGGTCGACCACGCTATCCTACTCCACCGCTTGTCCTCCCACCTCAAACTTCAAGGCACTGTCCTTGAATGGTTTAGGTCGTACCTTTCTCACCGTCTTCACTTTGTCTCGACGAATGGCTTCTCCTCCACCCCCCGCACTGTCTCATGTGGTGTCCCTCAGGGCTCTGTCCTCGGTCGCCTCCTCTTCACACTCTATATGCTCCCCCTGTGGTGACATCATCCGCAGACATGGAGTTAACTTCCACATGTATGCGGATGACACCCAACTCTACCTTTCCTCCTCTACTCTCAACTCCACGACCACCGATGTCCTGACAGCTGCCTGTCCGACATCGAGTCCTGGACGAGAGACAACTTTCTTCAGCTCAACGTGCGAAAAACCGAGGCCCTCCTGATTGGCTCACGTCAGC